ACTGGTCATTTTCTTTTGGTTACAACAACAAAAGCATTATGAACAACAACAAAAATGATTTTAGATCAACGTTAGTGATGATAACCATTACAAAAGTTGACATTCGTTGCTTTTTACTTTACCTTTACCTTTTGGTGAATGTCATCATCATCATCATCATTTATTTTTTGTTTTGTTTGCGAATAGAAAATCTGATAAATTTTCAATGTTTTTCTTCTTCTTCAGTCAATGATGATGATATTGATTGATTTTTCTGTTTCTGCTTCTTTTGTTGCAAGTAAATTCTTCTCTTTCCACTTTGTTATTCGATTCGTTTGAAAATAAGAAGCTTTTTTTTTGTTTTGTTTAAATATACTTATTCATCACTATTTTCACCTCTCTCTTGTGTTCAAAATTGAATTTCATTAAAGTAATAAAATAGAAAATATCCAAAATCGAAATGAATATTTTTTTTTCGTCAATTTTTTTCGTTCTGATTATTTTGTTGAGTAAGGAAAATGAAAAAAATTCTGAAGATTTTATGCAAAATTCAATGAGGGGAAGAAGAAGAAGAAGAAAACTATTTTGATTTGATTTTCAAATACGAAAACAAAAACAAATGAAATGAAATGAAATGATATGATAATATGAAAAAAATAAACCATTTTGATTTGATTTGAAACGAGTTTTGTTGTTGTTGTTGTTGTTGTTCTTATTTTACAACAACAACAACAACAACAACAATTTGTTTGTTTTTTGTTTCTGGAGAAATTTTCCGGTTCTTTGGTTTTTTATCAGTTTCTTTTCTCTTTTTTTCGAAAATCGCTACCGAAGAATTACATTGTTTCCAAGGAATTCTTTTCTTTTACCCAATGTGTGTATCGAATGATAATCGATAGTTTACACCACCACCGCACTAAGATGTTATTTGTTTCTTCTCAAACACACACACACACACACACACACAGATGATATGACAAATCAAATCTTTTGTCGAAATGATGCTTTATTGCAAATGAAAAACCAAAATAATGTAATTTTCTGTTTTTCTGTTGTTTTGTTGTTGCACCATCCAAAAAAACAAAGTGTTAATGATTCTTTGGCTTTTTCTTTCTTTCTTTCTTTCTTTTTGATTTCATTCTTTTTTGATAAGAATTTTCAACATTCGACCTATTTCGACCTATTCGACAATAATGAAAACACAAAAAACACACACTTTTTTCATAAATCAGTAAAGAATTTCTCTTTGTTTTTTTTTCTTCACTGTAGGAACCATTGTGTTAACAATTAATGATAATAATCAAAATAATAATGGTTGAAATTTTTTGGAACCATTTTTCATTTGAAAATCTACGAAAATACTGATTTGACAAACAGGAAAAATCCTTGTCCATTGACAATTCACATTTTCAAGTTTTTTTCATTTCTGTTTTGTTTTCCAGAAAGATTCTCAACCGAGAATCATTCCAGAAAAATTTTTGTTTTTTTTCTCCTCATTTCTCATTCCAACAAAAAAAAACCAACCCTGTTTTGAATTATTTATTTGATCACTTGATTAATCTGTGTTAATGAACAACAACAACGAAAAAAAAATGACCTGATCAAGAAAAAAAAGTCGGTCACCTTGCAATAAGAACGATAAACAACCAAACAACTAACCAAACAAACAAACAGTCAAACAAACATTCGATTGCTGATGTTAAATGTTTTATTCATTAACGATTGAAGACATACGTACATACAGAAAATTTATATCTGTTTGGCTTCTCACACTAAATAACATAATTGATGCAATAATTGGCAATACTTTTTGGTTATTTGGACTGGTTATTTGCTAATCTCATCTCTCTCCCTTTTGACATTTTTGTTCATTTGTCGTTATTTTTCACCGAAAAGAACAAGAATATCATTATTATTTCATGTAAATTGGTTCGATATATTTTGTTGTTGTTTGGTTTCTCTCTCTCTTTGTGTTTGTCGGAAATGTTTCCATAATTTTTTGTTGATCTGGTTTTTCTTTTCCCGTAAAGTTTTTTTTTCATTAAAAAGTTTTTTTTTCTAAAAAAACTTTTGAAGATCATCATCATTTAGCATCGTTTAAAAATTACCAGCAAAAAAACAGAAATCTACTCTTTTGTTTGACATTTTACTCAAGTATGTTCGTGCGTTTGTCCTGTAGCTCAGAGATTTTGTTTTGTTATCTTTCTGTTGTTGAAAGAAAAATGTTCCAAAAATCATCTTCTGCTGCTACTACTTTACTACTATTTTAACACGTAAACACACAATACGTCAGATCAAAAGAAAGGTAAACTAATTTCCGAATGCTATTATCTCCCGAATGAATGAATGTTGTTTGTTTTTCCCCTCCACATACGCTTTTCGTGTTTGATTTTTTCTTGGAAATTCAAACGAAAACAAAACCAAAAATCAAACAAGATAAATGGATGGAAAATCATTCATTCAGCTACATGATTTGTTTGTTATTTTGTTACCAGAAAAAAAAAGAAAAAAACATTTACAACAACCAAAAAAACTTGTTACGTAATCATAAATTCTACTTTACAATGGTCAATCACGATGACAATGTTTCGATGTTTTCGATGTTTCGATGTTTTGAGTTTTTTTGGTTTTCATTAAAATTTTATCATAACAAAGCAAAACAGAAAAATTTACAATCAATAAATTCATGAATAAACAAACAAAAAAGTTTTCGGAAATTTTTTTTCACTGATAAAACAAGCAAAACTTTAACTTTGTTTATTCAATTTTTACAAATGAAAAACAAAAAAAAATTAATTGACTAGAATAATAACCCGAAAATTATCATCATCATCATCGTCATTATCAACTTGTGATCAATAACCGAATATAAAAATAGACTTGGAAGAAGGAAAAACTTTGCCTTCCAAAACAAACAAACAAAGTTTTTGTTTGAATACAACATCATCACAAGTTTGGCGCCCATTTTTTTACCCAACTAAACAAACAAACATTTTTGGATCGGCCTGCATAGTTGGCCATAGTGTTAAAATTTTTTTTACGTTTGGGAAAGAAAATTCAAACAAATTTTTCATTAACATTGTTTGTACGCCCTTTTAAATTTCATTATCACATGATGATGATGGTGATAATTGGGAGGTGGACTTTTTGTTTTGTTTTAAAAAAACTGGACATGAAAAAGTAGAAACATTATTTTTAATTTCATCATCATCATTATCACCATTTTTTTTCTGGTTCGTGTTAATGATGATAATGATAATGATTAATGCTTATCTCGTTTTTTATAGTGGAAATTTTTTTTAATGGGAGGGAATTTTTCTCTCGCAATTTTTTTCCTGGAAACTTTCTCGACTTTTAACCTGATTTTTCGTTTGGCAGAGTTTTTTTTTTGAAAAAAAATGAAATGAAAAATATAAATCATTACTGTGAATAATCAAAGTAGATGTTGGTGGTTGTTGGTAGTGGATGAGTTTTTTTCCTATAGTCTTCATTATTTAACCCCGAAGGCTTTCACCACGAATAATAAATGAATGAATGATAAATTGAAAATGTTAGTTTTATGGTGGTGATGATGATGGTAAAAATTTGAATAAATAAAAAAAAATGAAAGTATTTTGATTTAATTTCCAGAACAAAAAAAAAATAAAAAAAAAAAAATATACAGGAAAAATATAGTCATAATCAACCTAACCTAACTCGACTATGAATCAAAGTCATAGTCATCAACCTAACCTCATTCAACTATGAATCATATTTTTTGACACATAAAAATATGAAAAGAAAAATAATGATGGGAAAAAAAGTTTTTTTTTTTTGGTATTTCAATTCCACATTATGGTGATGATTTTATTTGCAAAATATCCATTTCTCTCTCTCTCTCTCTCTCTCTCTCTCTCTCTCGNTTTTTTTTTTTGGTATTTCAATTCCACATTATGGTGATGATTTTATTTGCAAAATATCCATTTCTCTCTCTCTCTCTCTCTCTCTCTCTCTCTCTCTCTCTTGATTCTGGTATTCATTTCAAATTTTCTAAAAAATTTTGTTGATGATGTATGTGGGTGGATTTGGTTATTTTTTTTCTTCTAAAATGAATGAAATATGGAAACCATAAACAAACAAACAAACAAACAAACAAATTCCATGGATATGAATCAAGATAAAACTTTATCAACAAAAACATGACAATAGAAAATGTTTATTTCAACCAAAAAACGATTTGACTTTCATCATCATCAACATTGTTGTCATTGTTGGCTGAATAATGAAAATTTTTCATTATTATTATTCAAAATGGTTTACTATCCACGCAAACAAATTTATGGATTTTGTTATTTTTTTCATTTTTATTTTCATTCAAATTTGAAATGAAAAAGAGAGAGAAAAAACTTTGGACATTATTCAGAGATGAAATCATCATCATCATCATCAAACTAAAAACCAACGGTATTCACAAATGTCGGTCATTTTTTTTGGTTTGCTGGAAATGGACATTTTCATTTTCATTTCATTTCTCTCTCTCCCTTGGACCAATATCAATCCAGAATTTTTTTTTTGTGGTCAGTTTTTGGGTTCCAAAAAAAGTGGGAAGTTTTTTTCTGGTTTTTTGGCTGAATATTTTTTTTCTGGTTTATTCTGGGCCATTCAAATATTCCGGAATGACCTTGTTTTTCTTTCCACACATATATCCTAAATTGTTATTCATTTTTGTTTTCACGCTTCTATATTTGGATCATCATCATATTTTTTGACATGTATAATGTTATTATGTAGATTTGCTGATACTTTTCGTTTTCATTTTGTTTTCGATTTTTGATGTGGTTGGTGACCATATTGGATATTATTAGCCATTCATTCATTCATTCATCATTCATAAATGATGAATCATCGGATATTACTTTTTTTTCAATCAATGCGATGAATATTTTACAGGAAATTTCTTTGGAAAATTCCAAAAAAGTTTTTTCTCATCTCTGCAAAATTTCTAATCAAATTTTCTCCTTTTTCTTTTTCTTTCTATGCAGATTTTCATTTGAAAATTCAATTTTTTTTGCAACTTTCCTGTTTGAAAATCAAGGGGAAAACACAGGGTTGAAAAAAAATGTTCATCGATGGCAACAGCAATTTGATGATAAACCTCACATTACAACCGTTATTCATATCAAACAATCGAAAGAAAAAAACCTTAATGATCATTGTCATTATGAATTCTGTTTTGGTTACTCATAAATTCAATAACATTTATCATTGAAAAAAATGATGATGAAGAAATTTTATTATAAAATTTTTATAAAAATTTTTAATTATTTTTCTATAAATTTATTATTATTATTATTATCATCATTAATATTTGTAATATTAATGCCAATCATTATAATTATAAATATTATTAATATTAATCATTATTATCGATGGTCATTATCATCATTTATAATCATTATTATAATGATGGCTATGAATAATAATTATGTACAATCATTACAATTATCATCATCATCATCACCATTAAAGCCTATTATACAACAACAAACAACAGAATTTAATGAAAATCATCAACAACAATCGATATTATCGATACCATCGATACAAACGAGCTCTTTATCATCATCATCATCATCATCATCAACAGCATTAGATAAAAATTTAAATAAAAAAATAATTAATTATCATCATCATCATCCACAACAGCAGCCTAAACAATCATCATCATCATCGGATAATGTGATATTATCAACAAGACCAAAGTAAGTTTATTTGAAAAAAAAGTTTTTGCGTAAAATTTCTGTAAAATTTCTCTCATAACCCAAAGAATATTCAGGAAGAATTTCAAAGGTCAAAAGGTCAAATGTCAAGAATTTCTTTTTTTTCGCCTGAAAAAAAATCTAAAATTTAGATTTTTTTGGCTCAATTTTTTTTGGATTTTTTTGTTCACTTTTGTTTTATACTATTTCGACAAACAAAACCCAAAAAAAACCCGAAATCGAAAACAAAACACATCAGAATAAAGTCGACTTTGAGAAAAAAAAAGCGAAAAGAAAAAATTTGAAATTCAACAAACAAACCAAATATGAATTTCAATTCGGGATTTTTTTTTCTTCTGTTCTGGTTAGTTTCTACATTTGTCAAATGTGAAAAAAACATAAAATGGACAAGGATTGAATTTCAATCCATAACATTTGATGCAAATCAAATTGAAAACCTAACTATATTAACAGTGAATGTGTAAATTGCAGATTTTTTGATTTTTTGTTTGGATTTTTTGTTCGCCTTTCAAATTTCAAAACTTGATGAAATTGATCAGTCAATTCGGTCATCGTTTTTTTTTTGTGTGAACATTCTTGACATTTGTTTTTTCACTGTTACTATAAAATGAAGGATGATTTGGGAAAAAGAAATGGAGAAAGTTTCCGAGGAAACTAAATTTCCTCGGAAACTTTCAGCTATAAAAAAAACAAATTTTGCAATGAAAATTAAATTTTCTTTTTTGAAAATTTAAATTCTTTTGGATGACACAATAATAATAATTGTCATTTAAGTTTGTCATTTTGAGACTGTCAAACTCTTTCTTTTCTTGCTTACTTTTCTTTTTTTTTTGTTTGTCACATCGTTATCGATCCTTAAGAATTTCTTTTTTTTTCGCTGAATTGAAAACTACTTTCAAGTGTTTTGTTTGTGTTTGTCATCAAGGGAAATTTAACATTATTTTAATTAAAAAAAAGAAAAGAAAAGAATCCACCTTACACGATAAACCCATTCACTCAATTTGATGATTTTTTTGTAAGTTTGACTTTTTTTTTGACTATTTTCACCCAAACACACACATACACACAATGATCTTGTCAATCCGATTAGGTGATAATGGGAGAGAGAGAAAACAAACAAAATTTTTTCGCAATGTAATTTCAAATAAAGAGAAACTTTATGGCAAATTTCTTTCCGGAAATATTTCCCAAATTTATACATGAATGAATTTTTTTTTTGAAAAATTTTCACATTGAAACAAAAATTCCATGTTCAAATTCTCATTAACTAATTAATTAATTGAATCAAATTAAATCAGATTTAGGTTCTTTTTTTGGTTTGTAACTCCAGAAAAAAATGCCTGACCAATCTAAAATTGACATTTTTTTGTTGTTGTTGTTTTTTTTATCTCTTTACCTTGTTTGGTTTTTGTCTAAATCAATTAACATGATTATCCTTGTTTGTTTTTTTGGTTTTTGCTTTATCTTCGAGACAAAAAGTACACGAAGAACACAAAACGGCTATTTCTACTTTTTTGGTTAAATGGTTGATTGTGGTTTTTGTTTCTTCCTATTTCAAATAATCTTGTGTTTGCTTGTATTGCGAAATTTTTGTTTGTTATTTGTCGAATAAAGATTATCGATCGAATTAAAATCTTTTCTTTTAAATTTTCCAAGTCTGTCATTTGTCAGATTCGTATACATTCGTACAGAACATAAAAAAGGAAGCATTATCAATCCATAGATGATCTAATGAAACAAAAGCCAGAGAGAGAGAGAGAGAGAGAGAGAGAGAGAGAATTTGTTTAATCCATAATAACAATAATGATAATACGACAAAACAGAAGCAAAACAAAAAAAAACTGTACCATGAAATCGTGAATCGTGTTTGTAATTTACGATTTTCATTTATTTTTTTGTTGTTGTTTTTTTCGTTTCTCACTATAAACTACTGTAATCCAGGTACTGATTTTGTTTCTGTTTTTTTTCTATTTCAATAACATTTAGCTAGTCAATCAGTTAGTTCGTTTAGGTAGTTAGGNAGAGAGAGAGAGAGTGAGAGAGAGAGAGAGAGAGAGAGAGAGAGAGAAGAAAACAAACAAAACATTTTCAGTAATATAATTTTCAAATTTTCAAATAAAAAGAGAAACTTTGTGGCAAATTTCTTTCCGGAAATATTTCTCAAATTCATACATGAATGATTCTTTTTTTTTGGTTGAAAAATTTTCATTTGAAACAAAAATTCCATGTTCAAATTCTCATTAACTAATTAATTAATTGAATCAAACCAAATCAGATTTTAGGTTCGTTTTTTTTTTGGTTTGTAACTTCAGAAAAAAATAATGCCTGACCAATCTAAAATTGACATTTTTTTTGTTGTTGTTGTTGTTTTTTATCTCTTTACCTTGTTTGTTGTTTTGTCTAAATCAATTAACATGATTATCCTTGTTTGTTTGTTTGTTTTGTTTTTTGGTTTTTGCTTTATCTTCGAGAAAAAAAGTACACGAAGAACACAAAACGGCTATTTCTACTTATGGTTGAATGGATGATTGTAGTTTTTTTTCTTCCTATTTTTTTCAAATAAACCTGTGTTTGTTGCTGTTATTTCGAATAAAGATTATCGATCGAATTATAAGTTGTGTTTCCTTTATTTTCAAATTTTCTTTTTTTTCCAGTTTTCCAACATTATCAATTCATAGATGATCAAATGAAACAAAGCCAGATAGAGAGAGAGAGAGAGAGAGAGAGAGAGAGAGAGAATTTGTTTAATCCATAATAATAATGATATGACACAACAACAAAAACAAAAAAAAAACTGTACCATGAAATCGTGAATCGTGTTTGCAATTTACGATTTTCATTTATTTTTTGTTGTATCCCACTAAACTACAGGTAATCCAGGTACTGATTTTGTTTCTGTTTTTTTTTCTATTTCAATAACATTTAGCTAGTTAATCAGTTAGTTCGTTTAGGTAGTTAGGGTTATTATCATTATCATTACTGACTGACTTGAATGAATGAATGAATGATAGTAAAATTAGGTCAAACGTATACTATCACTTTCTCTACACAAGAAATCATTTGATATGTTCGTGTTTTGCATATAGATTTTTTTTTTTTTTTTTTTTGTCAAATATGGAACCACTTGACTTGATTTTTATGAAGAAACCAGTAGCCAAGAATTTATGTGACACGAGTTTTCAAATGTGTACCATTGTGTGTTATTGAGTGTTATTATCATGTCATCAATGACCTTGATAACCAAAACGGTTATTATCAAAGGGTCATTACAAATGAGTTTCTACATACCTTTACACTGGCGGATATTATCGGAAAAATGAAACCAGAACCAAAAAAAAAACAGCCATAAAAAGATAGCGCAAAAGAAAAGTTTCATGTTACAAAATTTTTTTATTTTCGGAAAGTTTTTTTTCTGTGTTTCATGTTTCATGTTTCTTCTCGTAAAGATAATTATTATCAAGATTTTTTTTTTTGTTCAAAAGAAAAAAAACAATAATTATTACTACAACAGACAAGATAGTGAGAATTTTTATCGAAATTTATTTCATTTTTTGAAAAAAAAGTTTCCGAAATTTCTTCTTTTTTCAAAAAGTTTCCGAAATTTTTTCTTTTTTTATCGGGTTAATTATTGATGATGGGTATTTTTATCAGAATTTTTTTTTTGGTTATCTGGTTACATTTTCAAAACCTAATAATTTTCTTTTTCACTTTTCCCTCATTTGTTCCTGGTTTTTCTCTTCTTCGATGTTGATGTTGGTGCCGATTTTTCAACCAAAAAAAAAAAACAAAACAAAACAAAATCCCATCAGACAAACAGCAATTGGACAGAATATAACTAGAATATTGAATGCCTTTTTCGATAGTGGCTATGATAAACGTGTACGTCCCAATTATGCTGGTAAGTTATTATACAAGAATTTATTGTGAAAGTTTTTATCCCAATTATGATTGATCCCTTCAAACAACAACAACAACAAATAAATTGCTTCTGGGTCATCTGAAGTTTATTTTCGTTGTTTTTGTTGTTGTTGTTGAGGGTTAATGTCCACTATATCGACTGCTACAGTAAATAATTTATTTACTGGAGAAAACAAACACCTATTTTTGATTGATCGAATGAGGAAAATGTTTTTATTTTTATTTTTAAATTCTGCTGCCGGATGACCGATCAATCAAAAATATGATATGTTTGTTTTGTTTGCCAATTTCATAATTATAATAATAATCATTTTGTTCGCCTATTTCTACCTACCTATCTATCTAATCAAGGTCCACCTGTACAAGTTGGTGTTACAATGCATATAATTAGCATTAGTTCTATATCGGCCGTTCAAATGGTAATTTTGATTTACACTTGTGTGGAAATAGATTTTGATTCTTACTTCTTACTTCTTTCAAAAAAAAGGATTTTACATCCGATTTTTATTTTCGTCAATCATGGCGTGATTCAAGATTAAGTTTTCAACCACATCCAGGTATACAAGCATTATATGTTGGTGCTGAAGTTTCGGAAAAAATTTGGGTACCAGATACATTTTTTGCCAATGAAAAAGCAGCTCAATTTCATATGGCAACAACGCCAAATACATTTATTCGTATTAAATCTAATGGTGATGTGTTCCTTTCAATGAGGTTAGTTTTGTTTCATTTTAATCATTTTTATATTCTCTCAATCAAAATTGGTTTTTTTCTTCCTTCCTCCCCTCCCATTCCATTAGACTTACAGTAACTTCAAGTTGCCCAATGAATTTACAATATTTTCCAATGGATCGACAAAGCTGTACGATTGAAGTGGAAAGTTGTAAGTGTTAATTTCAAAAATTTCAAACTTTGTTTTAAAAAAATGTAAATTTCCACTTTTTTTCCACCTATAAGATGGTTATTCAATGGCCGATATACAATATAAATGGGGTATCGATGGTCAAGGATCGGATGTTGTATTGGCAAAAAATTTAGAATTACCACAATTTAAAGTTTATAAACATTTACAACGACGTAAAGTTGAAGTACTTAGCACTGGGAATTATTCACGTTTAGTTTGTGAAATTGAATTTGTACGATCAATGGGTTATTATTTAATACAAATTTATATACCTGCATCATTGATTGTTATTATATCATGGGTTTCATTTTGGCTTCATCGGGTAAGTGTTATTATTTGTTCGTTATTATTTTTTTTTAACCCCGTAAACGCAACAACAGCAAGTAACATCCATATATCAATGAAAATGTCAGATACAGACACCACATTCAATTCAATTTCCCCCCCACGCACACACACAAAGTAAGATTATTATTATTCCTGTTTAAAGAATAAGATTTTTTTTCCGGAAAAAAAACTATGCCGTATAAGTATTACGTGCGTGTGATGAATATATTTATGTGATGTTGATGTTCAAAGTTTGTTGTTGTTGATTTTCAATGTAAAAAAAATGTTGATGATGATGATCATTATTCAACGACTTTATATTGAATTCTTTTTGTTGTTGTTGTTTTTGTTGTTGTTGTATTTTTATTCATTGTTGATGAACCGAGAATATTCTGGTCTCTCTCTCTCTCTCTCTCTCTCTCTCTCTCTCTATGAATCTAAAATTTTTGATTATTAAAATTTTTTGCCCTCCTACTATTTCTATAGATACACTATTTTTTTTCCTTGTTTTTCTTTTTTTCCTATTACTAAATTCTAATTGAATTCTTTTTTGTTGCAAAACTTGTTTCAATTTGAAGAAGAGAAAATTAGACAAAAGTTCATATTGTTAATATTTCCGTTTTTTTTCTTCATCATTGGGGAGAGAGAGAAACATTTTTCTGAGAATTAATGATTATGATGAATTTTGTTTTCTATAATTTTCATTTGAAAATATTTTTTCCCAGAAATTTTCCCAGAAACTTTCCCAGCAAGTGATTATTATTATTGATTTTTTTTCTGTTGTTGAAGAGATAGTTAATTAGCACATCGAATCATTATTATTTGGAAAAAAATGTCACAGGTGAGGTTATCCGAGGTTTTTCCAATTGAGATTTACGCATGTCAAATGTGAATGAATCGCTTTTGTTTTTTCAGGAAAAAAACCTGGATAAAATTTTCAAATTTTCAATTTTTTTCTTGAAAAAACTTTATGGAAATTATTTAGTTAGTGAAAAAAGTTTCACTTAACAAAACTCCCAAAAAAGAATTTGATTTTGATCTCAATTTGTTTCTTCAATAAAAACAAAACAAGTGAACCAGAACCAAACAAACAAACAAACTAAAAAGAACCAGAACGGTTTCGGATCGAGGTGTCGATATTCGATGAAGAACTTGAAAGAGTTTCTTTTGAATGATTGAAAATAAAATTTCAAATACAAACACTTATTCACTTTACACACTTTAAAACTATATGAAAACAAACAAAAAAAACTTTTGAATTTTTTGAACGAAATATGGTTGAAAATTTCGATTCCATTATATGGGGCTAGAGAGAGAGAGAGGGAGAGAGAGACCAGAATAAAATATCGAGCTTTGAGAGTAAAATTTTTTTTTCTATTACAAACATTTTCCATTAAAAAACAAAAAACAAACTTGCGTTATGTTTTTTTGTACGTATTAAGAAGAGAGTGAAAAAGAGAATCTACCTACCTATATCTATCAACTAAATTGCTTGTTGTTGTTGTTGTTGTTTTAAAGATTTCAACAACAACAACAACAACAAATGATCCATATTTTGTTCATGAGCTGAGATTGTTGAAATATGTGTGTGTGTGTAATGCGTGTGCATCATTTTTTTTTTTTTTTTTTGAAAAAATAATCCAGGTAAATATTTAGAGAAAATCACATCCATTCATTCATTCATTTTTTGTTTTTGTTTCTGTATAGGTTTCGATTTATTTATTATCCACCTTTTATTTTCTTTGGCAATTCTTTCATCATTTCAACAACGATTCTGAAATGAAACTAAAGAAAAGATTTTTTCTCTTTTGTTTTTTTGGATTTCTAAAACAAAGCAAAAAACAAACGAAAATGTTTATTGTAAATGGGCCTATTACCTGTCTGACTACCTGGCTGGCTGGCTTAGTATTATTATTATTATTATTATTATCAAACGATAAATAGATAGGTAACCTTATTTTGATGGAAAAGGTAAAATATCTAATAGGTAGGTAGGTAGGTAGTCAGGCAGGTAATAATCATTCAATACATAGTTTTTTTACTATAGTTTTTTTTTCTTCAATATATTTATGGAATGTGTCAAAATTAACTCCATTTTGTTTTGTTTTGTTTGGAAAATTTTCACTATGAATCTTTTCTTTCTTCGGTTCCCGTTATTGGAAACTATCAGTGTTTCTTCAGTGTGTGTGTGTGTGTGTGTGGGTGAAAAGAAAGGAAACTTTCGAGAAAAATAGCAGCAGCTTCTGATGTTTTTGTTGTTGTTGTTGATGATGATAATAATATTTGACGTTTACATAACACACGAACACGATAAAGGAAAGAAAGAATATTCTTTATTATTCTTTTTTTTTATTATTTACACACCTCTCTCTCTCTCTCACTCTCTCTCTCTCTCTCTCTCTCTCTCTCTAATGGCATCTTTTATTCTTTTGGGTTTGAACATGGTCTAAATTTCCATTATGTAATTTTTTTTTCTTTCGTGTATAAACCAATGATGTACGAAAGACGATAAAGACGACGTCCAAAGCTAAAAATTAAGGAAGACTGACTGGCTGACTGAATGAATGATAGAATCCGAACAAGAATAGTAAAAAAAATATATGTTCACGTTTTTACATTAAAATAACATAACATAGCATACACACAAACACACAAACACGAAATAGCTAATGATTATGACATTTATTATTAATAATAATGATCTTAAAGAATTTTTTTTCTCTTCTTCTTCTTCTTCTTCGTATTCTTATTATTTAGTTTCATTCAATCTGAAGAATTTTTTAAGGATTTTTTCTTCTTTAAAAAAACAGCATTTTTTCAAATTTCGATTGGAGATAGGAATTCATTTATTCCCTCCCGATTTCCCCCCAATATACTGATGATGGTGATTTTTTGTATTAGTTACATGTAACCAAAAAATTGATCCATTTTTTTGGATTCATTTTTATTCAAATTTGATGATGATGATTGCGTGCCAAAATGATTTTTGTTGTTGTTGTTGTTGTCGAGGGCTTCTTTATTTTTTTAAATCTGTTGTTGTTGTTGTTTGTGGGGGGCGAAAAATTTTGATAAGAAAAACTAATTTCCATTTTGATTTGAAATAATTTTTTTGTAAAATAAAAAATAGAATGCAAGTCCAGCACGTGTACAATTAGGTGTTACAACTGTATTAACAATGACAACATTAATGTCATCAACAAATGCAGCAATGCCAAAAATTTCCTATATAAAATCGATTGATGTTTTTTTAGGTACTTGTTTTGTAATGGTATTTGCTGCCTTATTAGAATATGCAACTGTTGGTTATATGGGTAAACGTATTGCAATGCGTAAATCACGTACACAGCAAATTGTACGAATTCTGAATGAACATCGTGAAAAATGTATTGCAGCAGCAGCTGCAGCTGCTGCTGCTTCTTCACATCAAGGAAAAAATATTGATAATAATGATGATGATGATAATGATAATGATGATCCAAATAATCCGATTACAAGTCGTCGTCATGGTGCATTAATACGTACAGCATCACTTTATCCAAATATGGAACAATTAGATGAATTAGAATCATATCATAAAAGGGTAAGTTTTTTGGTTTTAGATTCTGTTGTTTTTTTTTACAAATTTCACCATTTCTTTTTTTTACATTTCCCCCACCCCCAAAAATGATAACAAAGGGTTTACGACCACCATCACATAGTTATCTAAGTAGCCGTCATTCATTTGAACGTACAGCATCATTAAAAAATCGTATATTTAATGAAACTAATGGTGGTAATGATGATTCTGAAAATGGACCAAATTTTAATGATGATCTTAATGTATTTGTTGCTGCAAATTCTGGTTCAACATCAGGTGTTGGTGGTGGTAGTGGTGGTGGTGTTGGAGGTTTATCATCACCATCATCATTTAATAAATTAGATTCACATATAACGGCTGCATTACAACGTGGCGCTGGTGGTGGTAGTTCAACTCGTGTCGGTAGTAATCGTCGTAGTTTTACCGGTCTATATGATCCAAATGATAATAATAATAATGTTCGTGATATGAGACATTTAGCTGAACGTGCATTTTTACCATCAAGTTATTATCTTAAAAATCAAAATACATTATTTGGTGTTTGTCCAAGCGATATTGATAAATATTCAAGAGTTGTTTTCCCTGTTTGTTTTCTTTGCTTTAATCTTATGTATTGGATTATTTATATGCATATTAGTGAATTTTTAATTGAAGATCAACAATTTGATGAATGATGATTGTTTGGGGTTAAATCTAATGATGATTATCTATTTATCTATTTGTCGTCTGTTTTTGTCGTCTGTTATTTATTATTATTGTTACAAAAACCAAAAGTTTAGAGCATAAAATCTGTCATCAAATCAATCAAATCAATTTGTTTTTTCGATTGTTTTTTCTTTCTTGGATTTATACAATCTAAAATTACATTGTCATTATACACTTTCATTATTCACAAACTTTATATAAAGCAAAAACATCAATCAATGGAAATATGATTAACACCTTATGCACCTTTTCATTTTCGCTACCTGATTCTAAATTGTTAAACATTGGAAATTCAACTTTAAAAAAAAACTTACCAAAAGTGCTTCAATCTTTTCTGTTTTTCTCTCTTTTTCTTTTTTGTTTTTGTTTGGATGTTTCCAGTTTTTATTATTGTTTAACACTTTCACATCACCCGAATTCACTCACTTTACACTAAAACACATGTACACAGGTAATATTCAAAATGAGACTTAAATTCAAACAAAACACACACACGAAACACATCGTAAAATTGACCTTAATGACAGGGTGAATGAAATTATTCAAACAAAAAATGCAAAAAATCACTTCTCTCATCCTTGTATCCAATCAATCAATCAATCAATCTCACCAAATCAATTGTAAATTTAAAAAAAAAATAAAAAAAATTTTCAAAAAAAAAAAATGTAAGCACGATGCTGCCATCTATGTTTTCATATTCGAAAGTTTTGTTCAAATTTTTTCTTTTCTCTCAATTTCTGGATGTTTTAAAATTTTAAAATTTGAATTTCGAAAAAACATCGATTTTTTCCTTCTTCACTCAATGACCCTTATCGTTTTCGTTGTTCTTCTTATTGTTTCAAGCTGTCAAGATTTACGCGTACATTACATGATGATGATCCATCAAAATGTTCAACAAAAACAAAACAAAAGAAACGAAAAATTTGTTTGATTTTGATTTTGAACAACGGAAAAAAATTGAAATTGAAATTTTTAAATTGTTTTTTGTTTCCAGTTCCATAGCCACCAAACACTTGTATACAAGTTCAATTCACCTTATTCGGCAAAAAAGAAAAAAAAATTCACATATATCGTAATTAGTAATGAACGTGTGCCAAAAATTTTTTTGATCGATTGATCGAATGACAATCGTTCTGACAATCTTGAAAACGTAAACAAAAAAAAAATGTTTTAAATGTTTGATTTGATTTGCTCTTCGTGTGTCGTGGTGGACATTCATTCATTCATCTTTGATCTTTATGGCGTTTTCGGTGTTAATGTTTGCTTGTTTGCTGCTGTTTGTTCCTGTTTGTTTTTCGCTAAAATTATCGTGTCCAATATTTGATTTGAACGATGAGAGCGAACGAGAACATGATGTAAACATGTAAGTGTCCATCTTGTTTTCCTCCCCCCTTTAAAAAAAAATCAATCGATAAATCGATTGATTGATTTGTTAATTCGTTCTTCTCCATCGTTCAATCAGATCAATCATATTTTCAATCATTTTTGTTAATCTTTGTCAGAAAAAAGCTTAAAAAAACAATCCTTGATGACAAAAACAAAAATGGTTGTCAAAGTGACAAAAATTTATTTCGAATGTGATGAACGATTTAATCGATGAATCGATTGTATTCCGAAGGAAAGAAATGATGATAAAACAACCAGGTAAAACTAAAATAAGATTTTTTGAAAAAAAGTGAAATTTTAAAAAACATCCTTGATTCATCAATGAAATACCTGTAAACCATCATCAGAAGAAGAAGAAATAGTCTGATGATGATCCATGATTAATCAATCAATCAATCAGACAAACAATCGATTATATCGATTACAAATCGATACTTTGTTTAATCCTTTTAATTCATTTCTTTCATATTGTAAATGCTTCGCTTTCCAATCGACTATTTCAACATCAGCAACAATACAAAAAGAAGATGGACACCATTCTAAATACACATTTATGGGTCATTTTTTTGTTTGTTTGTTTCAGCAAAAAAAAATGTCGATCATTTTGTCATCTTTCATTTACAATCCAGCCAAAAAATGATTAAGATTCGAGCATGAAACAAAAACAAAAAATGCAAAAATAGAATTCAATTGTAATCATCATCATCATCATCATCAAGATTGAATGTTTTTTTTTTTCTAAAAAAACCAAGACAAAATTTCCAAAAAAGAAACATCGACGATGGACGATGGACACCGAGATGATGATGATGATCATCCATTTCAATTTTTTTTTTGTAATCAAAAAAAGCATTTCTCTTTCTTTGGATATCCGATCATAATCATGAATCTGATTAAAATGATATGTATTTTTCGAAACTTTTTTCCAGAAAATTTTTTTCAATTTTTTCTTTTTTAAATAGTATCCATCCAGACAAATGATGGATTTGATCAGTTTTGTTGTTGTTGTCCATTTTTGAATTTTAAAAAATTTAAATTTTTCAAAATTCAAAAACCTTTTTTTATCCATAAATAAATAGCGGTCATCCTAATCATCGTTTTTTTTTGGTCAGTTGTAAACATTTTCTCGGTTTTCGGGAAAAAATCAAAAATCTATCTAAATATTGATGTGTGTTATCAATGATGATGATGATTCAATATTGTTGTTTGATGTTATTCAAGGGTTTTTCTTTTCTTTTCTTCTTTTAACAGATAAAACACATTCAAAATTGAATTCAAGTGTTTAAGTAAATGATGATGATGATGGATAAGTGAATAATAACAACTGATCAATGACCGAATGACCCGAAATTTTATTTCATCAAAAATCTCTCTCTCTCTCTCTCTCTCTCTCTCTCTCTCTCACTTGTGGTCATTGATTTAAGTATGGCACACACACAAAGATGTTTTTGATAATTTTTTTTATTTTTCTAAAAACTGAAGAATCTTTCGATTCGAATCCAATGAATGATTGATATTTGAATTTTGTTGTTATTTTCACTATTGATTTCTTTCTATCTCTTTCTCCTGGATCGATAATCGATATTGATTTGTTGTTGTTGATCGATAATGACCTTTCAATGAAAACAATCGATTTTTGTTGTTGTTTTTTTCATTCTTATTATCCCTCCCCCATCCCCATTCATTTCATGGTCAATCGATTTTCATTAAAATCAATCAAAATGTAAACAAACAACAAATTAATATCAAATTTTCGTGTAAAATGATCAATAAGTAATTTCAAAACCATTCATAAACAACGTTATTCAATCAATTTAATTAGGGCTGACCATTTGATCAAATTGCCATAGATCACCAAGCACACACAATTGTGAAATCCATTCGACCTTGTCCTTTGTTTGTTTGTTTGTTTGTATTGATTTCACATTCCAAAGCAAAACTGAACAAGAAGAAAAAAGCTTGCTGGCATCAGATTCATTACTTTTTGAACTTTTTTTTTCTATTATTATTATGAATTGAACGAAAACAAAACAAAACAAAATGACAACATTCATTAAATCACAATCATCATCATCATCATCATCATGGACCGAATATGGAAGAACAAAAAAGAAAAGAAATGATAATTTTTCTGTTGAATATCCGCAACAACAGCCTAATAACAATTTATTTACCTTTTTGTATTTACCTTGTTTGGGCTTGGAAAATCAAATAATAATCTTCAGCCAGCTAAACAGCGACGAAAAGCGAAAAACAAGAAAAAAAACACCAAAAAATTAATTAAAATTAATTAATTAATCGACAAATTAAAAATGGTTAATTATCACTTACACAAACAAACAAACAACACAAATGAATGTTTTTTTTTTGTTCCAAAATAAAGATGTGTTAAATATCTAATTCGTTGCTGTTGTTGTTGTTGATTATGTAATTTATGAATGGTTAATTAGTTTCTCTCTCTCTCTCTCTCTTGGATCGATCCAAAAACATTCATATTTTTCGTTTTGTTTGTGGTCAGCCATTTCGTCGTTAATTATTTTCGTTTAATTAATTATTCAAGTTTGGATAATTTGATTTTTTTGAAAATAATGTTCAACAATGAAATCCATCATCATCATCATCATGATAATGATAATCAAAATGACCCCAAAAAAACAGAAAATTGATTTACGGGAAATATTTCCAGAAAAAAAAGTTATGGAAAATTTCCCGTAAAAAACAACATGGCTATGTAATTATTGGATCATCATCATCATCTGTCATATCAGGTGTCAATTGGGTTGTAAAATAATGATAATAAAAACAAAATTTCAACAAAAAAAAGCAAAAATTCCAATCTATTTCAACAGTGGATGTTATTAGCATCAAACATCGTGTCAATCATCATCATCATCATCAATTGATGATAATGATGACAACAACAACAACAACAAAAAACATCTTTTTTTGTTGTTGTTGTTGAAACTCGTGAATCATATTTTTTTTTCTTTTTCGTTCGCTTCTTGTATTCAAATTTGTTTTTTTTTTTTTTTTTTTTTTTTT